CTCTGGCATTCTGGGAAAAGGTAGGTTATGTGACATACAATGCTGGAGAAAATAAGCTATGTTGAGGTGGGGGAGAGGGGGGGATGGAAGTAGGGGATAAAGCTACTCCTCCATCTTGCTCATCTCCCGTCAAAGCAAATTCCAGATGGCTCATAGACTTAGAATGAAAACAAGTACCGGAAGAAAACAGCTACCAACATTTTTAATAGGGTCAGGAAGGTATTTCTTAGCTGGTATAATGCTGGTAATCACAAAAACATGTGAGCTCATGAAATTTTTAAAAGAACGCAATTAGGGGAAAAATGGATCAAAAACAGGAAATTCACAAAGATAAGAATGATCAATATACAGCATACAAAATGATGCTTCATTAGTAATCAAAGAATTGCAAATCCAGACCTTAGGAATATTCCTGCCTGGGCTAAGCAAGAGTCAGCACTGGAGGATGTGGGCAAAGAAGGCTTTTTGATAGGAGTGTAAAATGGTTTTAACTTTCCTTAAAAAAAAAAAAACAAAAACAATTTAGCAATATTCATTCATGGGTCCTCATGGTTTATCACTTCACCCTTGCGACTGTATGCAGAGATACGCTTACAAGGCTAGTCACTGAAGAGGTTTGAGTTTGTTGGTGTGTTTTTTTAATCATTGGATTAGGGAAAACAGTGTCCATCAATAGGATATTGGCTAATTTATAGTTACACTATTTCAGAGACTACAGCAAAGCCATTTAAAGAACCCTATGTATAGCTATTTGCCCGGGTGGGGAGAAGTCTGTGTAGTATGACCCCACATTGAACATTAAGCAGTCCAGCGCAGGGGCCTTAGTCCCTTAGGACCAACTAAGAGCTGTTGGACTGCCCAGGTATCCTGGGAACAAGCCCAGTGGACTTCTGACTTCATTGTGCTTTACCTCATGTGACCACCATCCAGTTGAAAGCTATACCAACTATAAACCTACGTCTATAGAATACGGACACGGTGCAATTTGCTCTTGCCTCCACCTTTTCAAATAAACTAGCCTCTCTGCAACATGTAGTAGCCCTAAAGGATGTGAAGAAGTTGGCCTACATATGCTAAAAGTAGTTAGTAAAGCTACTTAGATTGTAATCATCTTTTTGTTAAAACTCACTGGCAAGAAACATCTGGAAATAAATTTGGGGATGCAGTTTCTACATTCTTACATCAGTTCTCTTTCTCCTGGACACGTGTCTGAGTTGGTGGGAGGGCATGGGGAGCAAAAAGAGTCAAGATTCCACACCAGAATGTGTCCTTCTGAACCATGGTTTGTTCCATATGTATGTGGTAACCGTATGCAGTGTGACAGTGATAAACTTAGGTCTTTAATAGAAAGAAACATCTAGCCTTTTTAGATGTTTACACATGCTCTATGTTAAAAATAGATGGCATACAACCAATCTGCAGGACAAATAGTCTACAGGAACTACAGCCCCTCCCCCATCTCAACTATCACAACTTAAAAAAAAATCAAATTAATAGTGTTTCGGTTTTTATGACCAGGCAAGCACTTACAGACTGCTGGGAAATTGCATATCACCACATCGTCTTTCTTATTCTATATATTATTTTTCCTCCTGCTAATAATTGCTATCCATTTGCATCTGTCTTGTCCACGACCCTAACATTGATTCCAGACCTCTAAGCTTTCTGTCGCAGCTGGACCAGTGACTCTCCACATGCCTAACCACAGCCTTTCCAGTCCCCAGTCACCTCCTTTCCAGAACTTTCCAAGCTCCTTCTCCAATGGGACTTGTTGATTTCTGAGTTAGTCACTTCACAGCATTTATATTGGGACTTAACTTTTGTTGCTTTTTAAAGTTTTGGAATTCTCATTCTTACACTATAGCTTTTCTTCCCATTTGTACTCTTTGTGGGGGCTCTTTGTCTCCCTTCTACAGACTTTTACATTATAGTCTTCTTCCTTTTGTTATGTCAGACATTTCTCTAACCACCTTTTTTCTTCCTTATTTATTGAAATCTCTTAAATATTGTTTTCACATCATTTGTCTTCCTGAGGATTAATAATTTATCATTTTGCATTGTAACCTCACCAAGGACTTGGGAGGGAGAAGAAATCAGTCTATGTGTTCAGTTATGCATTTCTTCCAGGCCTGAAGGTAGAACAGAGTTAACACGTGCTCCACTTGAAAAAAGGAAGAGGAAGAGCAAGGAAGCAACAGCTGCAGATCGGAAAGGTTTGTCTCTGAGGCTGGCAAGGTCCGCCACCACAACTAGGTGACCACTGAAGGAATGTTAACTGAGAGGACTGGTGGAAGTGACCCAAAACCCACTTTTAAATATACTCTGCTTCTAACCCTGGCAGCTCAGCTGTCAGAGGCGCGAGGTAACTCAAGAAAAATTGGCATCCGGACACTTAAAACTTGGAAACAAGGTGCGATTTAGCCCTGCCTGACTAGAGTCATTCACAAGCAAAAAGCTTGCAAAAAAGCTTCCAGTCAGGCTCTACAGCAAAGGACTGGAAAAGAAAAAAAAGACTGCTACTAGGTTCCAGTTGAGCCATATACTGGGTTATTGCACACAAAATGTGTTTAAACATGTCTTAGCAAGGATGGCTGCTGCTTAGTTCTCTCAACCAACTTCACTGGTCGTGGTGGTGGTTATGTGCCGCGGAGTTAAGTTCCCAGGCTGTAAATCTTTATGGAAGCAGAAAGCCTCATCTTTCTCCCTAGGAACAGCTGGTAGTTTCGAACTGCTGACCTTGAGGTTCACAGCCCGATTCGTAACAACTACGCTAGGCACCGTATTTTCATGACACAGGGTGGTGGGGGGGAAAGATTTTGAGGTCAGTGCTAATTTCAGCAAAACTTAAGTGGACAATTTCCCAAATCACTTAGGTTTTGCAACAAGTTTATAGGGATGCCTGTTGTTATGCACAGCCAGTGATTTCTGACTCATAGTGACCCTGTATAAGTTTTCCAAGGAGTGGCTGGTGGGGCTGCTGGGTTTGATCCTCCAACCCTGGAATCCAAACTGTCCTTGCAGTCCAGTGCTTTACCCTAAGTGCCACACCAGGACTCTACCACCACACATAAAGTAAGTTTTTAGATAGAATAAGGGTTTGAAGGAAGCTGTTATATAAAATACAATTACAGGTAATGGTTCTGAAAAACACCATGCACTTCATTTAAATGTTCACTTCGTGCAGTCAAAGGAGTCCTAATGTGGCATTGTATGATAATGCACTGGACAAGGTCGGTTTGAACCACAAGGTTAGAAGTTCAAATCCACCAGCTGCTCCTCAGAAACTCTACTCAGGGTCACTAGGAGTTGGAACTAACTTAATAACAGTACTTAACATGTAGTCAAATACTCCAAGAAAATCCTTTTAGGATTATGTCTACTGAAAAATATTCACAATTCCAATTGTGAATAATTTTTAAAAAATTCTGTTTTAGAGACAGGGTGAGGTTAACTGTGATAGAAAATTCTCAAGGACAGGAACACATACCTGTAAAGAGCTAAACTGGTAAAAGTTGTGTTGCCAGATACATGTACAGTAAAAATACCTGTGAGGCTGCTTATGGGGTTTGGTTGCTTGGTTTAGTTGCGGCTTCATAAAGCATTCCAGTTAATTGGTCTAATTAATTGGTCTAGCACAGAGGCTCTCTAGGATAAGCACTGGACTCAGAACCACAAGGTTGGTGGTTGGAGCCCACCAGCTGTTCCTGGGGAGAAATGCAAAGCTTTCTGCTTCTGCAAAAATTGACAGCCTCAGAAACCTACACAGGGTGGTTGTGGGTAGTAACTGACTCAACAGCACTTAGCAATGAAGTGCTTCTGTTCTACCTCATAGATGACCACAGTTACTGGGGTCCTTAATGCTTGCAAGCAGCCGGTCTCTACTCATCTACAGCAAAGACGTAAGAGTCAGGAATAGAGAGTGGGCAGGTATGTGTGGCTGAGCTCCTCTGTGAGCAACTTAGGCCACGATGCTTCACATAATCATTGTAAGTATCTTATCTTTAAGTAGAGATCCCAAACCATAAAGTTTCTAATTTTATTGTAGCTTTCATCCAAAATACATCTTCTGTGTTGTCTGTGACACAGGAAATCCCCCAATGACCTTCTTGGACTAAAGTACAGTGATTTATATGCTGACGGCTATGCACATGATTTAAATAATAATAGACATTGGACTCGAGTGAGTCCAATGTCTTCTCGTTCCTGGGATCCGGTTAAGAGAGGGGCGCCCTTGTCATTTATAAAGCCATAGAGTGGAGACTCAGCCTCAGGACCATTTCTTGGTGACATTGAGATGGTTGAGCTGGTCTGCAACAAATCTGTGCGGAGGGAACTTGGAAGTGCTGGCCGCCTTGATGGCCTCGAAGGCCTGGGCCCTGCGGGCTGCAGCGTGGCCACGCTCCTGCTCCACGGTGAGGTAGGGCATGCTGAGCCAGTAATGGTTCTCCGCCTCGATCTCCAGGCGGCGGATCATGCTCTGCTTCGCATGGAAAGACACGGTCCGCGGCCGCCGGTGTTTCCCAATCCAAATCCTTCCAGGAATACGATTGCGGCAGAGGCGGGCAGTCAGGAACATGGTACCTGTCGGGGACACGGGTCAGAGCGGAATCGAACCGGCGACACACTGGGACGACAAGACCGGGGCAAGAACCTAGCTCTCAGGCCACCCGTGACCTTGTCCCACGACCGCGCAATGTCGTCCGAAAAGAAATGGGCAACCAGATACGGTCGATTCGCAAAGAAGTGTGTTCCCAAAATACCGATTAACGCCCCGCAACTTACCCGTCCGCTCAGCAAACGTCGGAAGTCCAGCCGGAAGCTAGCGGATACCGCGACGGAAGTACTCCTCCTTCTCGGGGCCGCCAGAACGTTTAGCGCAAAACTCCGGCTCTCGCGAGAAGAGGACGTGTGCGTCTTCTCGGTAGTTTCCGGCGTCGTGAGATTCAAACTAGTGGCGGGCACTGGAGCCGGGGACAGGGAACGCGGCGGCTGCGTTCCTCCTCCAGAGAAGCTTCATTCGAGCCTCGTCAATGGATCCCATCCGGAGCTTCTACGGGAAACTGCGGTCGCTGGCCGTCACCCTGGACAGCGAGACGGCCCGGCTGCAACGGGCGCTGAACGGAGAGGAGAGCGGTGAGTGAGGCGGCGGGTCAGAAAGACATCAAACCAGTACAAATAAGCAAACCCACACCAGTGATTCTGTATTTCAGCGCCGAGAAGTGCTTCGAAAGAGATACGCGGTAGGGGCGAGGTGGGTGATATATCAAAGTGCTCAGTTACTGTTTGCTCCTCACAGCAAATGCCACTTTTAAAAAATGTGTTTATAGGATCTTTCAAGTGTCATGTTTCTGAATTCTCTCCTTAGATAATGACAATGGAGCTGTTACTATGTTATGGAGAGAAATCGTCACACTTTTGAATAGAAGTGTTAATAAAGTTGATAGATTGAGCTATAATGCATTTGTTAATTTCTACATGAAGTGCTTTCAAGGCGGCATAATAGACCTGGTGATCGGCTCCAGGAAAGATTACAGAAAACCCTCCAGGGCAGTTATGCTCTGTCTTAATGAGCAGTTATGAGTTGGAATGGAGTGGACGGTGCACAATAGCAGTATATTTCAAGTCCAATGTAATGTGTAATTTCAATTAAAATAGTGAAAAAAAAATCAAGCAGCGTCTTTTCAAATGCAAGCTATTTAGCATTGTTCTTTACCTGGTTAGCGATTAAATCTTACCCACATGGTTCACAGTTGCAGTAAACTTCTGCATTTGGGCCAGTAAACTATATTGTCAACTCCACACAATACTGTTTTTCTTTATAAATAAAAGAAAATTCACTGTCACTAAGGACTCCTGGTGTGGCACTGTAGGATCAGCACTGGACTGCCAACCACAAGGTTGGTAGTTCAAACCCACCAGCTGCTTCCATGGCAACCCTGTTAAAAAACCACAACAAGCTAACACTTCTCCAGCAGTTCAAACTCATCAGCTGCCGGGTGGAAACAGAGTCACTATGAGTTAGAACCGACTTGATGGCACTTAACAACAACCTTTATATTGAGCGCTGGTGTGGCTCTCTAGGATAAGCACTGGACTTCTAACTGCAAGATTAGTGGTGCAAATCGTCAGGTACTCTTTGGAAACCCTATACAGGGGGTGTTGTGAGTTGGAATTAACAACAATAACAACCTTTATGTTGTAGTTGTTGTTAAGTGCCATTGAGTCAGTTCCGACCCATAGCGACCCTGGATAGTGTATACTAGGAGCGGTTGGTGAGCTTGAACTGCCAACCTTGCAGTTCAAATGGCTTTACAGTCTGGTGCATTAACCCACAGTGCCACACCAGGACTCTAACATTTATATTAGAGATGTTAAAAAGGTGTCGCAAGAATACTTCAGATGTTATGAGTCTTACAGAAATGTAATGAATCTGATAAATTGCAAACTGTAGAAACAAACTGATTCTGCTTCTAGTATATTAGTTGTCTAATCGAATAGAGCTTATTTTTGTGATTGTAAACTTCGGTATGGATTACATCTCAATGTAAAGAAAACAAAAATCCTCACCACTGGACCAATAAACAACATTCTTATCAATGGAGAAAAGATTGATGTTGTCAAGGACTTCATTCTTCTTGGATCAACTATCAACACTCATGGAAGCAGCAGTCAAGAAATCAAATGATGTATTGCATTAGGCAAATCTGCTGCACAAGACCTTTTTAAAGTGTTGAAGAGCAAAGATGTCAGCGTGAGGACTAAGGTGCACCTGACCTTGGTATTTTCAATAAGCCAAGGTATTTTCAATAACCTCATATGCATGTGAAAGCGGGACAGTGAATAAGGAAGACCATAGAAGAATTGATGCTTTTGAGTTATGGTGTTGGAGGAGAATATTGAAAGTGCCATGGGGTGCCAAAAGAACCAACAGATCTGTGTTGGATGAAGCGCAGCCAGAGTGCTCCTTGGAGGCCAAGATGGCCAGACTTCGTCTCTCATTCTTCAGACATACTGTCAGGAGGGACCAGTCGCTGGAGAAGGATATCATGTTTGGTAAGGTGGAGGGTCAGAGAAAAAGAGGAAGACCCCCAAAGAGATGGATTGGCCAAGTGGTAGCATTGATGGACTCAAGCCTGGCAACAGTAGTGAGGTTGGCCCAGGGTCGGGCAATGTTTCATTTTGCTGTGCGTAAGTTCGCTATGAGTCAGTACTGACTCGATGGCACCTAACAACAACAACAAAACTGTTTGTATGGGAGAGGGGAAAATAGGGAGCAGTTGCTTAAGTTTCTGGTGGGGTAAACTCTTAGAAAATGTAGTTGTTGTTGTTGTTAAGTGCCATCGAGTCGGTTCTGACTCATAGCGACCTTGTATAGGATTTCCAAGAAGCTGCTGGTGAGCTTGAACTGCCAACCTTGCGGTTCAAACTAACTTTTGCAGTCCAGAGCATTAACCAACAGTGCCACACCAGGACTCCAGAGACTATGATAGTCGTTCTGTAGCATGATAAATCTAGTTCATGTCACTGAATTGTACACTTTAAAGTAATTTAAATATCTTGGAACAACAGGGCTCTGGGCATAGTTTGAAGAGGGGAAATAATACTAAGATGCTTGACTGCCTTATGAATGTTGGTTTCCCTTGCCTACTATTATAAATTAGACACTTGAATGGGATAGAAAGGAATGTTGGGAAACATGATTACAGAAAACTTGTAGACCTGTCTTCAGCCTAGAGCTGACTGGAAACCTCAAAGGGGTTCTCAAACTTGCCCAATGAAATAGGCCTCTTGCAAAGCCTTTGCAGAGTATAGGAGTTTAAGTGGAATCCTGAGTCCCATCCAGAACCTTCTGAGGTGGGACATTCCCACTAGCAAGGACAAGCAGACCAGCCTGAAACAGCGAGAGCAACAGAAGATACATCTTCAAAGAAAGATAATCAGGAAAAACCCAAAACAAAAACATCAGCATGACTGGCTAAGACAACAAGAACAAGCAAGCTGTTGTCTAGGAAGCCATCAAGGCATGCAATCAAGTTCCTTCAGGACAAACTCTATTGTAAGACTGAAATCAAAAGGAACACACAAGCACATAAGCTTGCTGGAGACCCCATTGGTCTACTGGTGTGTGGAAGAGTAGGAAAGGCAGAATTGAAGAAATGGGTTGAGTTCAACCACAGTCCATTGACCTGGAGATGAGACAGAGAAGAGGAAGGGCTGGTTGGTCCAAAGTGTGGTGAGACCTGGGGTCATCTGAGCCTGTGAACAAGGACATAGCCACAGAGCGCTAGAGCTGAGAGTGAAGCATCCAGCTGATATGAAGTGAGGGGAGATGCACAAGAACACCCAAACTTGCAGACAGTACCCATTTGACCTCGCTCCATGGCGTGATAATCGGAACTCAACTAGAGGAAGTTTACACTCAAAAAAAAAATTTTTTTTTTTTTTTGTATAAAGGAAACAAGGGTAAATTGCTACAATTTGATGAACCTGACCTATACTCATGGGGTTGTAACTCTAAATACCAACAGAGTGGGAAGGAGTCTTCACATCAAGTATCAATGCTATCCCCTCTGTACACAGGGTAAATAGGGACGGGCAATTTAGACACTGGCTACCTAAAATGAGGGGGTTGATAAAGGTACAACTGGCAACAAGGTTTCAAGGGGGAGTTTCGTTTAATAGTGTGTGGATTAAAAAGAGTCCCCACTGAATAGCTTTCATTTTGTCTAGATGGGTCTGGTGAAAAGAGATGGGGATAAGATTCTTGTGATTCAATAGTGAGTAATTGTTATCATGACTAATTGCGACTGTCAACAACTGTAAAGGTAGAAGTTTTGTAACAAAAACATGGGAGTGGTTAATCTTACAGTCCAGAAACAGAGGACCCTAGGACCATCAAGGGAGAAGAGCACAAGCAGAATGCAGGACCTTATCCAGAGAAGCAGCGACACCAGAGATGGAGGCAGAGATGGGGGCATGGAGAGGGGGAGCGGCTGACGACTCTAGATTCATGGGAAGAGAAGGGACTAAGAGCTGGTGGCCAAGAGGCCAACTTGCAGAATGTGCCCTTAGGAGATGTAAATTATTATATATGCCTGAGTGGGGTTTTTGTTTTTGTTTTTTTAAAAAAGCTAAAGTGAATAGAGAAATACTGTTAACTGATGGTGCATGGGAGGGGATTATAACCATTGTAATGAAACAAGGTATATGATTTGTTGACTGTAAAACTGATGACCTGCCCTATAAACTTTCACTCAATCCACAATAAAAACCTTAAATAAAAAAAGTAGTTTAAATGGCATTTTTTGTAATATATGAGGGTTAAGTAAAAAAGTTGTCCAGTTGGTTCCGACTCTGAGTAACGCCCTGAATATTGGAGACAACGCTGCCTGGACCGGCACCGTCGTCAGAATCACTCTTTGTGTTGGAGCCTATTGTTACAACACTGTGTCCGTCCATTCCTTAAAGAGCTTCCTTTTTTGTTGTTGACCATCTAATTTACTAAGCAAGGTGTCCTTCTCCAGTGACTCGTCCCTCCTGATAACATGTACAAAGTACGAGACATGATGTCTCGTCATCCTCACTTTTAAAGAACACTCTACTGTACTATTTCCAAAATAGATTTGTTCATTTTTCTGGCCAAAACCAAAAGCACATCCACTGCCTTCAAGTCATTTCTGATTCATTCTGGCTGTCTATGGTTGTGGTGGTGTTGGTGTGAGTCGGTTCTGACTCACAGTGACCCTGTATAGGGTTTCCAAGGCTGTAAATCTTTAAAGGAGCAGAAAGCCTCATCTTTCTCCTGTGGAGCAACTGGTAGATTCGAACTGCTAGCCTTGTGGCTAGCAGCCTAGCTCATAACCACTACCCTACCAGGGCTCTTTTGTCCTTTGCCACCACCATAATCCAAAGACATCAGTTCTTCAGGCTTCCTTATGTATGCATTTGAGGTCATTGAAAATACCATGACTGTTCAGGAGCACCGTAGTCTTCAGAATGACGTCATTGCTCTGTAACACTGTAAGTCAGTTTCTTGTGCAGCAGCGTTGCCCATTGCAGTACATCGATTGAATTCTTGACTGCTGCTTCCTTGAATATTCACTGGATCCAACTAAAATGAAATCCTTGAAATTTCAGTCCTTTTCCATTTATCATGATGTTTATTGGTCCAATGTGAGGATTTCTTCTCATTGTCTAGCTAACAAGCCATACTAGTGGGTGAGAGGTGGTGTCTCATTTGGTTTTGATTTGCATTTCCCTAATGAAATTGGTTGACTTTTAACAGGGGTAAGGAGAAGGTCTTTAAAGGAGGCGTGTTTTAGAAATCTTTATATATTTGACCAGCTGACTAATGATCAAGGAGACAGTGCAGTGGGTTGTTGTTGTTAAGTGCCATTGAGTCAGTTCTGACTCATAGTGACCCTGTACAGAGTTTCCAGGGAGCAGCTGATAGGTTTGAACTGCCAACTTTGTGATTCACAATCCAGTGCTGATCTACCAGCGTTACCTCAGGAATCCAGTGCAGTGGATAGTGATGATTTTTTTAGTAACTAGAGCCATGTCAGTGGGCTATCCATATAGAAGACTCTTGATCCTGATCTTATGTCATATATAGAAATCAATTTCAGATGAATTGCACCCGTGAATGCAAAGGCAGAACAGTTAAGCTTTCAGAAGAAACATAATAGTGTTTTCATTCACATATACTTTTAAAATAGGAACTAGAACGTACTTGCATTGAAAGAAAAATTCATCAATAGGACTACACTAAAATTAAGAACGTACATTTATCAAAAGAAACAGAGTGAGAGGAGATATTGTGATATAGCTATCTGACAAAAGACATATATCCAGAATTTCCAGAGTCCTACAACTCAGCAAATACAAGGCAGGTAACAAAGTAGAAAAGTGACAGAGGTCTTAAATTAGCTCTTCAAAGGAAAGGATCTTCAGATGTTGGCGCTTAAGCCTATGAAGTCAGTAACTTCATTAGTCATCAGGGAAATGCAAATTCAATCTCAGTGCAAAACAACTACAGGATGCCAAACTGAAAAAGAGAAAATACCAACTATTGGCAGTGATGTTGAACAAATGGAACTCCCCCATACACTTCTATTCACAATAGAACTGGTAAGGGAGTTTGGTATGATCACACAGTGGGATGCTGTCCAGTAGTGAGAATGTGCAAAGTAGACTGTCGGTGAATACAGTGACTGTCACAGCCGTAATGTGGAGTGAAAGACACTAGTCAGGAGAGAGCACATAAATCAATCAATAAAGCTACTAAATAGGCAAAGCGAATTCATGGTGTCAGGCTAGTGGTTGTTCTTGAGGGGAAAGTGGAGACTCCAAGAGACTTTCTGGAGTTCTCATGATGCTGCTTGATCTGAGTGCGGTGGTGTAGGTGTGGTCTCTTTGTAAAGCTCACCAAGCTATACGCTTATGATTTGTATACTTCTGTATGTATATTATAGCTCATACTTTTTTGGTTTTTAATGTTTTATTGTGAATTATGTGATAGTTTACATGGGAGAATGTTAGTTTTACATTCATCCTATTATATATAGTTTCATTGCTATGGTTACAATGCATCATCAACCGGCCAAATGGTATACCCCGCAAGCCTGCCTGCCCTTGCCATTTCACACACCCTCCACCCCACCCCCCACCCCCAGTCATCAGCACACAGCCCCTCTCTCTCTCTGGGTTTAGAGTTCCCAGCTGCTCCATCTCTCCACTTCATCATCTCTGCCTCAAACTCTGCCTTCACTGTTTCTCTTGGTAGGGTCCCGCACTCTGCTCTTCTCCCTTGATGGTCCCAGGGACCTCCGCTCCTAGACTGAAAAGTCAGTCATTCCCCTCCTTTTGCTGCAAAATGTCTACCTTTACATTTCCAACCCTCACAATCAGTCCTGATAGTAATTATTCACTATTATACCACAAGAGTGCTATCCCCATCTCCTTTCATCAGTCCCACCCAGACAGATTGGATACTACTCAGTGGAGATTCTCCCTTCTTCTGCACCCTCTGGATCTAGGTTCCCTCTTGAAAGCTTGTAAGCCAGTCACTTCTTGCCTTTGTAGTACCCCATTTTGGGTAGCCAATGTCCAAGTTGCCCATCCCTGTCTACTCTGTATATGGAGGGGGGTGGGAATGATCCTCGCTGTAAAGATTTGTTCCCTCTTTTGTAGCTCATACATTTTTAAAGAAAGGCCTTAACCTATCTCTTAGCAACAGAGTCCCCTCTAACCCACTCCCAGAGACTCTAGGACAGAGTGGAGCTGCTCCGTCAGGCTTCCGAGACTGTAAATCTCTCCAGGAGCAGATGACCGGATTTTTCTCTTGCAGAATAGCTGGTGGATTCCATTGACTGAGTGCTTTAACCACTGTGCCGCCAAGGTAACCTTAGCAATGGACGGGATATAAATTACAAAACAATACCTATAAGGATTTTACAGCTCTAAAACACTGTGTTAAATTATGTTTCCATTCTGTTCCTTTTCTCATGCTTATTCGACATTCGTGTTGAAGACTTAGAAGATTATGCAATGAAGACTTTATGTGACCTGCAGTCAGAAGTCCGGACTCTAAAGGTATCACTGCTACAATATGAATTCATCATTTTTTCTGTACTGTGCAGGCTGTTTTGTTTTAATGAGGAATTATGGAAATACATTCTTTAACTTATAACTGTGAATGGGTTGAAGATTTGCATAGCAGATCAGTTTTCTGTTCAGTAATTCAGACACATTTTGTTTCATGTTACTGATTTCAATCCCCACAATCTATAACATCACTTTGCCCACTTCTTCCTTGTGTTTGCCGCCTCCAGTTTTCTTTCTTTCCTAACTCTTCTGAACTTTGTCTTCGGCTACATGTTGATTATTTTGAGGTGTGTGTACCTTCTTAGGGTTATTGTTATTTGGGCAAAAATTGAACCATGTGGGTGAGTTCATTTCTAGACCTTAAGGGTAACTCAGAGTCTTTGCCAGTCTGTATGTGACCAGTGTGGCACTGGACTGTTAACCACAAGGTTGATGGTTTAAACCCACCAGCTGCCCCTTGGAAATCCTATACAGGGTTGTCATGAGTCAGAACTGGTCTTGGAGTCATGGAAACTGATGTTTGTGTGGCTCATTAGTCCGTTGGACTAATTGTTTCCAAGTGACTTTAATTTTCATCCCTCTACTTTGCTCCAGATGGGAAGATACCAATAGTTGCACTTTAGATGGCTGCTCATAAGCTTTTAGGAGCCCAGCCACTACTCACCAAAGTGGGATGTAGAACCTGGTCTGTGGACTGCCTATGCTAGTTGACCCTGGTGGCCCCTGAGACCATGGTCCTACACTCCCATGTCCACAGCTACTTTGTTCCTTCAAGATGTTTGATTATGTCTAACAAGTTTTCATTACTTTGCTCCACCACATTTATGGACTTATTTGTTACAAAATAAAGGTGTGTAGTTTTTATTAATCAAAGTAGACAATGAACAGTTAGAGAAATTATAATGTACTTTCTTTCCTTGTAAAAGGATGATGTTAATATTCTTCTTCACAAAGCAAGCTTGCAAAGTCAAGAAAGCACTGATTTCTTGAAGGCAACCAAAGTACTGATGAAAAGAAATTCAGTGGATATTATAAAAATAAGAGAATTTTTCCAGAAGTATGGATACAGTCCACGGGCCGAGGAAAATTCAGGTTAGAATCACTTTCATTTTATAGCATTTGTCTTTATATTAAAAATGAGAAGTCAGCCTGAGGAAGTCCACCTTGGCTATGGATACCAGCACGTGGACTGTCACTGATGAGCACTTGTTGGATGCTGGACGCAGTGCTGATAGGTGGTTCTTTAGTTCTTGATCAAATCCAAACGCTGAATGAGAAGAAACAACTAGATGGGAGACTCCTGTGAGCTCTTTAGGAGACACATGTGCCCTGGAGGTTCTGTGGATTAGCTGTTCAGTGCTAACGGTACCCACAGCCACTCCACAGAGAAAGAGGAGGCAGTGTGCTCCCATAAGGGTTTGCAGTCTAGGAAACCCCACAGCCATCCCATTCATCCTATAGGGTCGCTATGAGTGGGAATCAACTGAACGGTAGTGGGTTTGGATTTTTTTGGTTTGTTTAGGAGATGAGTACAAAGGTAAATTGTAGTTTCCAGTCCAAACTGCCGTTGATCAGAGGGATGGCGCAGGACCGGGCTGTGTTTCCTTCCGCTCTTCGCTGGATCATTCTGTTGGGCCCACCTCACTGGCAGCCAACCACCAGCTCCTAACTAGCTGTGTGATCTGGGCATGCTCAGTTACTTTTTTTATTCTCAGGTTCCTCTTGTAGGAAGAGATTTTGGCTATATAATTTTATCTATGTAGTCCTTTTTTTTTTTTTTTTTCATGTAGTCCTTTTTAATTCTCAAGTTCTAATGACAGGCACTCTGGTAGTGTAGTGGTTATGAATCGGTCTGCGAACCACAAGGTCAGCAGTTCGGAACTACTGGCTGTTCCGTGGGAGAAAGATGAGGCTTTCTGCTCCTGTAAAGATTTCAGAAACCCTGTTCAGGGTCGTTATGGGTTGGAACTGACTCGACAGCACATAACAACAACAACACAATGACAGGCAGGCAGTATGCACAGTGGTATTGAGGATGACATCAAACTGCCTGAACCCAAATCTCTATCCCACCATTTACTAGCTGTATTCTCTTTGGAAAGTTAGTTAACCTTGTGCCTGAGTTTCTCATCTGTACAGTAAGGACGTTTACTAGTCTCTATGTCGTGAGTTTGTGGAAAGAGTAAATAAGAGAATTTGCTTAAGAGCAGGGCTGGTATATAGCACCCCCTCACAGTTAACTACTGTCTTGACTGCTCACGGTGACGAAGGGCTAGTTTCAGTGTGCTTCCGTGTCTTCATGTCTACTCTGAGAATGATCTCGGTTCTTAAATAAAATGTTATTAAGACCATAATCAAGTAGTCCACATGGTAGAATACAGAGAGAGCAGTTGGCTCTGGTGAAAGGCATTACGTCGTTCACTGCTGTGTGGCCGTGGATAAGTTCTCTATGTTGCTTCCTCACTCATGAAACTGAGATGATGATTCTTCCCTGCCTCGCAAGCTGCTCCGTGGGAATGAAGACTTGGTGTTCTGCTCCCATAAAGGTGGCAGTTCCACCCTGTCCTGTAGGGGGTGCTATGAATCAGGACTGATTAGACTGTACACAGGAACCACAATAGGGTAGTAAAGCGCCCTAGGTGGCACACATGTTTCAACCGCCCAGCAGTACCCTGGAAGACTACACCTGGTGGTCAAAGATCACAGCCAAGAAAGACATGGATCTGTTCCCCTCTGTACTGCCCAGGGCTGCCATGAGCCAGAGTCAATTGATGGTGAGGTTTTGGTTTTCTTTAAATGGTGATGGATAAAGGAGACTAGGTAATGGTGATGATTTTATTTATTTCATTAGTGGCACTTCTGTGATAAATACAGTAGTAGGGTTTTGATAGCTTTTGCAGCATCCTCAAAATAACTAGAAAGCACAATGCCAAAACACAATTTAGTGAATAAATAGCTTTTCTAAGGGCCCAAAACCATGGTATCAAAATATAAAACCTATTAATGGTTAGAAGGTGTCCTGGTTTGACGCTATAGGATAAGCACAGGACTACAAGGTCAGTGGTTCAAACTCAACAGATGCTCCTTGGACACCCTGTACTGAGTGGTTATGAGTCAGAACTGATTCTACAGCACCTAACAACAACAAGGGTTATGACACTACACATCTTTCACATGTGCTCCTATCCTATTTCTCAACCAGCCTTTTACTATCAATGGTTCCAGACTAAATTTAGGATTAAAACTTATCATCGTACACAGCAGTTTTCCCTTTCTTCGTAGCCATCTGAAAGATGATAATCTAAAATAGAATTATTATAAAAACCACCAAAAACCAAAGCCACTGCCATCGAATTGGCTCTGACTCACAGTGAGCCAGTACGTCAGAGTAGAAACTGCTCCTTAGGATTTCTGAGACTGTCAAGTCTTTATGGGAGCAAACAGCCTCATCTTTCTGGGGGGTTTGGGTTAGCAGCCTAACACTTAGCCCACTACGCCAACAAAGTCAGCACCACGCTGTAATCTGTGTTATCTACATGAAATCAAGAAGGACTATTGTAAATGGCACTAACTTGGAGGAAGTAAGGAGACTGGACTTGTGTTTCAGTTTCAGGGTACTGATTTCTCATCTTTTGACACCTTTTGTTGTTGTTGTTTACCTCCACGCCATTGACTGTATCATCAACATAGGATATGGGTGAGCAAGGTGCATGTCAGCTTTACCTAGTGGACAAGTGAAATAAAATATTTAGAGGCTAAGGAGAGAATCAGACTTTTACTAATTTGGGAAATTTCAAATGGTGCATTTTTTTGTTTGTTTTAATGGATTTAAGTACATGAGCTTTTGTGTTTAGATGTTTGATCAGAATGTTTTCTCTTTGATTTTTGCTTTCTAGTGCCTGAGCATGAAATCATTAAACCAAAATTGGCTACCTGTGAGATGCAAGCACCTGATGGAAAGTGTGATGTGTCAGAGAATCCTGTTGTAAGCAGTTCTGTCTCTGAGGTCCCTCCACGCAGTCCACAGCTTTCAGACTTTGGGCTTGAGCGGTACATGATAGCCCAAGTTGTGCCCAATCCACGAGAAATAAATAACCGTAAGGAAGAGCCAGTCATTTTAACCCCACCCACCAAACCATCGCCAACAAAAACACTAAAGACTCCTAAGTGTGCGCTAAAGATGGATGATTTTGAGTGCATGACTCCTAAATTAGAGCACTTCGGTATCTCTGAGTACACGTATTTAAATGAAGACTACACAATGGGGCTTAAAGGTAGTAAAAGGTAAGCCGTTTTCTTAAGGATACATTTTCTTTATGATTCCTCATAGAAAAGTCACATATATTTTAATTTCTAAATACTGTGCATTGATGGATTTTTCCCAACAAAATATGTTTAAGTGTCTATCTTTGTGTAAAAGGTTTTAAAATATTTCCTGAAACAAAAATTATACGAGCCAAGTGTGAGTAGTTTCTTTGGCATAGGAGCCAGAGTGATAAAGGCCTGAAAACAATGACATTTGTAGGGATGGAGCAGAGGATGTAACATTAGTCAGGACTTGCCCTGGACTTGGACTGGAGACATGGGAAGTGTGCTTACCCGAGATGATGCTGGGGCAGACAGCTCTCATTACTGGCGTACCTGCAGCTGAGTCAGATGTTTACTTTACACACGTTCATTTTGAGTCGCCACTGACATTTTGATTTGCCTTTTAAGGTCAGGTATATTAATGTGAGTTTAAAGGCCAGTGGTGAGTCTAAAGGTTTTGGGGGTGCTGAACTTGGAAAGTTCTTAAGACCGTAAGAGTTAAAAAAAAACCATAAATGAAACTACTATGTACCACAGTAACCAAGTAATGCCTAAAGATATTGCCATATTGTTAACATCTTTCATTGTTAAAGAAGGAAAATAAATGTCAACTCAAAAACTAAACAAAACAAAACACCACAATTCTGAGAGTAATACAAGGAAGGAAACACTAAACATAAAATATCATAAAAGATTTTTAGAAGAGTAGCTAAACCTGAAAACTAGCTCTTATTTATTGTTGTTGTTGTTAAGTGCCTTCAAGTCAGTTCTGACTCCTGTGACCCTGTAGAGGGTTTCCAAGGAGCAGCTGGTGAGCTTGAACTGCCGACTTTGCAGTTCAAACTGACCTTTTGGTCCACCGCATTATCCTGCAGTGCCATACCAGGTCTCTAGTTATTGATTAGACAAATACAAATGACAAAATTAGGAATTAATTGATTTATTTATAAAGATATAAGCAAATACTGTAATGTATTGTTAAGTACCATTGAGTCTATTTCAACTCATAACAACCCTGTATATTGTTTCTGAGGAGCTGAGCTAGTAAGCTTGAACCTCTGACTTTGCAGTTCAAACTGACCTTGCAATCTAGCACATTAACCTACAGCACCACACCAGAACTCCTATAATGTGTGGTGGTGGTGGTGGTGGTGTGCCGTGGAGTTGATTCCAACTCATAGCGACCCTGTATAGGGTTTCCCGTGGAACAGCTGGTAGTTTTGTTACAGGTTCAAGTCTCAAAGAAGGATGATGACCACTATAATGTCCAATTTAGAGAATTTTATTGGCACAACAGATGGCAGGAGACAATGAATTCTCCCAGGCCTGCCAGGGCGTAGGGAAATGGCTGCTAGTTTATATATGCTAAGTTCTTGGCTCGGGGTCTAGGGGCTTATCTGAAGGAATTTGCTGAAGCAAATGGTTTCGACTCATAACGGCCCTGTATAGGGTTTCCAAATAGTGCCTGGTGAGCTTGAACTGCCGACCTTGCAGTTCAAACCGACTTTGCAGTCCAGTGCATTATCCCACAAGGCCACAGAAATAACAAATATCTAACATCAGAGAATGAGTTAAATTGTGGCATGGCATCAAAACCAGAAATCATAGTAAATTCAAACAGATAACTTCAGCTATAAAACTTGAAACCGTGAAATAAAAGGACAAAGCAGGAAAAGTATTTATACTGTGATAAAACAAATGTGTGTGTATTTACACATATATATGTAATATACACAATACATTTTCTTTTTAAGCAAGAAAGGCATTTAATGGTCTTGCATCAGATTGACAGTAAATCATTTCAGATTTGGTGTTTTATGTCTTTAAAACTCATTTTTCAGTTAATGAAAGACAAACATCCCAATTTTAAAATGAACAAATTACCAATAAGCATATGATTATATGTTTAACTTAAGTAATACATTGAAATAAAAGATTCGATTTTTTACCTCTCCAGATTCAGTTGTTCAACTTGCAGGTTTGAATGGGCTTAGTAATAGGGTGTGGTGCTGTAGGATAAATACTGCACTGTGAGCCACAAGTTTGGCGATTCAAACCCACCAGCTGCTCTTCAGAAACCCTATGCAGAGTTCCTATGAGTCAGAACCAACTCCACAGCACTAAACAACAACAACATTAATATTAAAACAGTATCGAGTAGACATTTTATAACAAAAACGGCGGAGTCATTAATCAGTTCAGAAACAGAGGACCTTAGGACCATCGAGAGAGAAGAGCATGAACGGAACGTGGGACCCTCTCCAGAGAAGCAGTGACACCAGAGAATGGAATCAGAGATGAGAACATGGAGAGAGGGAGCAGCGGAGGACTCTGGACTCATGGAAAGAGAAAGGCTGTTTATATGAAGTGAGGGGAGAGGCACAAGAACACCCAAACTTGCAGATACTACCCATTTGACCTAATCTTGATGGCTTGATAATCAGAACTTGGCTAGAGGAAGATAAAAAACAATTTTTTATAAAGGAAACGAGTGCAGATTGCTGTAATTTGATGAACTTGACCTGTACTTATGGATGTAGTAGCTCAAAGTACTAACAGAGAGTGAAGGAGTCTTTACATCAAGTATCAATGCTATCCCCTCTGTACACAGGGTAGATAGGGACGGGCAACTTAGACATTGGCTACCTAAAATGAGGGGGCAATAAAAGCACAAAGTGACTGGCTTACAAGTTCTCAAGAGGAAGTTTAGGAGTGTGCCGGGGAAGATAGAATCCGCACTGAATAGTTTTTATCTTGTTTAGATGGGTCTGGTGAAAAGAGATGGGAATAAGATTCTTATGATTCAATAGTTAGTAATTGTTATCATGACTAATTGTGACTGTCACAACTGTAAAGGTAGAAGTTTTGTAACAAAAACGGGATTAGTTAATTTTACAGTCCAGAAACAGAGGACTCTAAGACCATCAGGGGAGAAGAGCACAAGCAGAATGCGGGACCCTATTCAGAGAAGCATTGACACCAGAAATGGAGGCAGAGATGAGGACATGGAGAGAGGGAGTAGCTGAGGACTCTTGTTGTTGTTGTTAAGTGCCGTCGAGTCGGGTCCGACCCAGAGCGACCCTGTACAGGGTTTCCGAGGGTGTAAATCCTTACGGGAGTAGAAAGCCTCATCTTTCTCCCGCGGAGCGGCTGGTAGTTTCGAACTGCTGACCTTAAGGTTCGCAGCCCGATTCGTAACCACTACGCTACCAGAGCTCCTTAGCTGAGGACTCTAGACTCATGGAAAAAGAGGGACTGAGTGCTGGCGGCCAGGAGGCAGGCTTGCAGAATGTGCCCTTTGGTTGTTAAAATTATTATATATTCCTGAGTGTTTTTGTGTACATCTCCCCTCCTCTACCCCCCCAAAAAAGGAAAAACGGAATGGAAGCAAGTATTGTTGAATGATGATGCTCAGAGATTGTAATCATTGCAACGAAATGATGAGTGTAAAATCGATATTCTCCCATGTAACTATCAGTTCACAATAAAAACTTAAAACAAAAAAACCAGTATCAAAAGCGACAGGCAATACTCAATGTTGATGCGGAGCTGGCAAAGAAATGTCAGTAATGCCGGTGGGCAGTAGAGCAGTCTGTAGAACAGATGGGCAGTTTATAGAAAAGCCTTTATGAAATTTAAGTTTGTGGGAAAATTCTATTACCTATTAGAATTTCATTCTTCCATGAACTTTTTGAAGCGTCCTTTTATAACACTTATTATTTCATGTATATGAAATTTAAAACATGTAAACACATCAGTTATTTAAAAGTACGTAAGGGTCCTAGTGTGGTGCTGTAGGGTCTATACTGGACTGCTAACCATAAAGTCTGTGGTTCATATCGACTAGCTGCTTCACAGGAAACCTATAAAGTGTAGCTTTGTGTCTGAACCGATTTGACTGGCACTTTAACCACAACAAAGATTACATAGGTAAGTATTAAACTACCCGGCAAATCTGGGGTATGGATTACCCTTCTGTGAGAGAGGGACGTTGGTAAAGTTCCACAGAGGACGACACAAGTACTGGTGGTACGTGCCGCTGAGTCAGTTTGCTGAGTCCGTTTGACTCGTAGTGAGTCCATATAGCGTTTCCAAGGAGCGACTGGTGAGTTTGAATCACCACCCTTGTGGTTCAAACCTACCGTATGGTCAAGTGCTTATCCTACAGTGCCACACCAGGACTTCTTCATAAGTGTGGTAGAGCCTAAATAGATGGTCATTTTCTTATCTTAAAACTTTTCACACTACATATACATTCTTTGACATGTGTGATGTATTTCATACTCACTTTTTAAAAAATGTTAATATAGGATGTTAAGGACTGCATTGTTCAGTGTCCTTATTTAAAACTGGAGATCTTCTAAGTGAGAATCAGTCTTTACCTATCCTGTAGTATCCAGCAATACTCCTGTTTATGAATGGATTTCAGAGAGAGAAGTTCATTGTTTAGGATAGCTTCATTAAGATGACAGGAAGAGCCTTTTTGGTCTTGTTGTTAAGTGCCGTGGACTCGATTCTGACCCATAGTGACCCTGTATAGGCTTTCCGAGGTACAGCTGGTGAACTTGAACTGCCGACCTTGTAGTTCAAACGACTTTGCAGTCTGACGCATTAACCCACAGAGCCACACCAGGATTCCTTTTTAGTCTTAGAAAATTCCAAATTCTTTATCTTATCTGCATACAGTTTGTCAGATTCCTCTGTATGCTTTTGAAGGCTTGATCTCGGCAGGTTCTGTATTTATAGTCATAAGTGAATTTACAGTTTTCCTTTAAATCACTTTCGGAGACCTTCCATTCTTAATCCCTTTGGAGTCATGGGGGTTTTTTTTTTTTTTTTTTTTTTTAAGATTTGTTCCTTGGGACTTCTGTTCTATAAAACAGATTTTAATGATCATTTAGACTTGTTGACAGTATACAATAAGATTACATTTTTCTTGGGGATTAGTTGTAACTTGTTTGCCTTACAATTATTCCCATATGAATCATGCCAGTGGAGAAGCTGTGGAATCAGAACCAACAGCCAGTGATGGCTTCTTCGCCTCCCCTGGCCTCATGACCCAGCAATTGGGAAAAAATGGTAAGTGTGAAAATCCAGCTACCTCTCAGCTCTGAAAATGTTTCTTTCCCCTTAGACATTCTTATAGTATGCACAATACTGGTTTTTGCTTTTTATTTGCAAACTTTGTCGCACCCCCTCATGTGTTAGTTTCCTAAGAACTGTATGTACCTTATCTGAGTGGACACATTATTTACATGGATGCATTATATGTGAAAATAAAATGGTGTGCTTTTGAATCCCTGGCCAGTGACCTACACTCTGTGAAAACACAGCTTCTGAGTACATCCTGATATTTTGTAGATAAGTGACCGCCTCTTCTAGTCTTCCTCCTTCTTTCTTTTTCTTCAGAAGTTTGATGATGTTTTTCAGTAATATGCTGCAGACTGTTTAGTAAATTTTTTTGTAGGTATCTTCTTTTGTAAATATCTTATTGTGATAAATGGAACCTTTTTCCAAATTGTATTGTTGATGATTGCTCGTGTGTATGAAGTATTCAGGTTTGCATACTGATCTTGTACCTTGCAACTTTGCTGAACTTTTATAGTGCTAGTGTTGGTGCTGAGGAGCCAGCACCAGGCCACTAACTTCAAGGTCGGGGTTCAAACCCATCAGCCACCCTGCAGGCAAAAGGTGACACTGTCATTCCCCTCAAGACTTAGAGTCTCGGAAACCCAGTGGGGCAGCTCTGCTGTGTCCTGTAGGATTGCTGGAAGTCGAATTTGACTCCACAGCAATGAGTTTTAATGTTGGTGCTAATAATACTTACTGGTGAGTCAGTTCTTACTCATTGCTACCCTATATAGGGTTTCCAAGGAGCAGCTGGTGGGTTTAAACTGCTAAACTTGCAGTTAGCAGTCCAGTGCTTATCCTACCTACAGTGCTGCATCAGGACTCCAGTCATACTTACATATGTTAATAGTGACAAGTTTTAGTCTTTTCTCCCCAATCAAACGTAATTATTCAAAATAAAGCATGCAAATTATATTAGCAAAGCTTATAACAAATCTTTATTTCAGCTTTATTTTCATGCCCTGTCATATGTCTTCTAGATGCTGCGTGTACAAATTCACCCTTGGCACCAACGTTCTGCACCCCTGGCTTGAAGATCCCTTCTACAATTGACAGTACAGCTTTGGTAAATTTCCATAAAACAACACTTGAATCTTTCTCCTCCTGACTTAGCAACAGTACTACTTGCAAACTCTGAAACCATCTGCTCAGAACAGATGATATTTTGAGCATAATTTCTGGAGCTAATAATTAAGTAAAACAGAGCAGTGGTTTTAAAACTGTTTTCACATCCTATAACCATGTTGCAAAGGAGCCCTGGTGGTGGAAAGGTTATGAACTTAGTGGCTAACCGAAAGACCAGTGGTTCAAACCCACCACCTGCTCCTTGAGAGAAGAAACGGTCTTCTCCCATAACCTACAGGGAAGTTCTGCTTTGTTCTATAGAGCTGCTATGAGTCGGAACCAGCACACACTAACCATGTCAGAAATTCTGAAGTAAATTGGGACAAAGATTTGTGTCCAGTGAAGTTTTATTAAACAGCATTATTTATTTATAAGAGCAAGACATTAGCATTAATCTGAATGTCAAGTGATGTTGTTAAGAGCCATCAAGTCGGTTCCATCTCATAGTGACCTTGTGTAGGCTTTCTGAGGAGTTGCTGGTGGGCTTGAACCACTAACCTCATGGTTTGTAGTCCAGTGCTCATCCTACAACACTACATCAGGATTCTGTCAAATGAGTGGTGGTGTTACATGTCAAGTCAGTTTCAACTCATAGCCATCCTATATAGCAGCTGGTAAGCTTGAAGCACCAACCTTGCAGTTCAAACCATCCTTTCAATTCAGCACATTAACCTGCAGTGCCAGGAAATACATTAAGGTATAACCATATGATCTAGTGTATTATATAACTATCATTTGTGTTGAAAGTATATAAAAGACTGTTTTTTCTTCATTTAATAGTATAGAAAAATGCTCATTGTTTTGTTTTTCAACTGCAGTAGGTAAAACTTAGTAGTATCAATCCAATTTTATGCTTATATGAGTGAAATGTATATGTGTGATATATCTGTATATGTGTGTATGTATCTGGTCATATACACATACGGTGGTACACATTTTAAGGAAAAAGGACACGTGGGTAAAAACATGGGAGAATGGTTATCTCGGATGATAGATGTAATGGTGGTTTTTGTGCGTTAGTCCCCAGTGAGCAGCATGCCTGTCAGCCCTTTACCCTTCTCCGAGTCAGTGTGAACACGTCTGACAGCTGTAGAGCAGACTGTCCACTGGTGAACATGCCTCTCAGCTGCTCCCCAGTGTGGAAGCCACTGGCCACACGGACCTTTCAAGCATTTGAAATCTGACTAAAGCACCTGAGAAGTAAAATGACGATTTGTTACATGGAATTTTTTTTTTTAATGTTTTATTGTGAATTATGTGATAGTTTACATGGGAGAACATTAGCTTTACATTCATCCTATCGTATATCATTTCATTGCCATGGTTACAATCCCCTGCATGCATCATTAAACAACCAAAGGGAATACCCCACAAACCTGCCCCTGGTTGTCAGCACACAGCCCCTCTCCCTCTCTGGGTCTAAAGTCCCCAGCCGCTCCACCTCACCATGTCATTGTCTCTGCCTCCATCTCTGGCATCACTGCTTCTCTGGTAGGGTCCCGCTCTCCTCTCTTCTCCTTTGATGGTCCTAGGGACCTCCTAGACTGAAAAGTTAATCACTCCCCTCCTTTTGCTACAAAACGTCTACCTTTACATTTCCAACCTTCACGGTCAGTCCTGATAGTAATTATTCACTACTGGCTACTACACGTACAACAAGCTATAGGCAAGGAGTGTGCTATTATCAATTGAAGTGTCAGGTCACCTGCTTGCTGTTTATAACTGTCCACTCCTGCTCTGACATTCCTCACCTCGCCCTCTGGATTCACTCTGACTCCCAGCAGACGGAGTGACTTGATGGCAAATTGATTGGGACTGAACTCCATGTTCAGTGCACCTTCCACTTGCTCATCCAAGCGGTGACAGTTTAGTGTGGTGGCCTCATTTCTTTAAAGACTCTGGGAAGTGAGTGGTGTCATTTTGGGGCCTACTTAGAGACCTCAACAGTTGACCCTGTAACCCTGGGTTGGGGGTGTACGCTCTGTCTGGAATGACGAGCATCACGGGATTTTAGGGGTGTGCTTACAACACTTGAGCACCCACAGCAGCGACAGGTGCGATCAGTAGATCTAGTCCATGTTGCTCTAGGATCAACTATATTTTTATTCACCCGTGTATTTTATACTACCTTAAATAATGACTTATTTTTATTTAATAGATACCCACGTATCATCCATTACTACAAACAAAGAGTTCAACGAATGATTTAGACAGAAAAGATTGTCCTTCAGTAGCTCTCAGTTCACAAGAATGCTTTGAAAACCTAGTGGATCCCTCTTCTCCTAAGATTTCTTCCTACGAGAATCTGCTCAGAACACCTACACCCCCAGAAGTGACGACCATTCCAGAAGATGTTCTCCAGGTGGTTGTTCCAGGCGGTTTTCCGTCTTTCTTTCTTTTTTTTTTTTCTTTCCTGATACATTGTTTTAAAAATTAGGTATTTATGTTAAAGAGCTGAAACTGCATGTAAGCAGTCTTACTTACCATCTGATGAATGTGGTGATTTGGGTCTCAAGGAAATCTGAATTCTGGGCTCTGGTAGGCCTTCCTAAGATGACATGGCTAAGGCTTTTCTGAGATAAACAGACTATTGTGTCATATTGTACTTTCCTGGGAGTTATATAGGAAAACTAGGTGAAAAGGGGGCCTTTTCTGTGTATGTTGTTAAATGCCATTGAGTGAGTTCCGACTTATGACCCTGTATTTAGGATTTCAGAAAACCTCTTCTTTTTCCCCAGAGCAGCAGCTGGTGGACTCAAAGCACCCACCTTGTGGTTCACAGTCCAATGCTTACCATGCAGAGCCATTGCACTTCCCCCAAACTTCTTAGTGTTGTAAATAATCTGTATTGTCAGTTCTTCCTTGACCTTGTGTGTTTTGTGTTTTTTTTAAACACCATCCAGATTTACATTGTTATTATAATTTGGATAAAAGGAATTTGCTTTTTGTTTTAGATTTTGTCAAAATACAACTCAAATCTGGCTACTCCAGTAGCCATTAAAGCAGTGCCGACCCGAAAAGTCTGTGTCACTAAACATGAAGGACAGAACACTCAAGATGTTTGCAACAAGGAAAACGGAGGAAGGTGAGTGTCCGCGTGCTAACAATCGTGGGTGTTATTAATTGCCACGGAGAGTTTCATTTTCAGCTTCAGAGCCTATCTTAACTTCTTATAGATATAACATGTTTGATCCTTGTATATCAGACTCCCAATTTATCAGTTCCATGACCTTCTGAATCTAGTCACAAGTGTTTTAGAAGTTTAAAAACTTGAGAGGCCTTCAAAAAGCTTATGGAAAAATCCCATTGTTTCCGTTCCATTTTTCTACCAACTTTGTGCAGTGCCCTCATACAGAGCGACTGCGCCTTCTGTGTCGTTTGTTTTGTTGGCAGCCTTTAGGTAAACTTAAGTGTATTGATGTGTACTTGTTTCTCTTTGCAGAAATCCTAGTGCATTCATCCATTATAGAAACTGAGGAAGAGGAAATGAAAGCAGAGATGGACTTATTTTTGTTACTCACATTCTTCTTCCTTATTAAAATCAACCCATTTTAAGAAGACAATGGACATTTAATGTCATAACATTCTGTCACATTTTGATTTGGTTTAACCCTGATCTTGTTAAAACATACTCCGGTCATTCAACCTTTGAAGACGATCACTGTTTTGTGATTTCAAATTTACCTTGCTTTTAATCTAAAAATGGTTTAAATAAATCAGGAAGCAGATCAAATAATTTAAAAATTTCACATGTTGTTTGCTATGCAAATAAAGTCAAGCCTGATCTTATGCAGAGAGAGCCAGAACCGACTCCATGGCACATAACAACAACAACAACAATGTAAAGATGACCCTCTTTTATGTTTGTGTCTTGAAAGTCAAGTGGGGAAATTTGTCACACTGTGCTCTCTTACATTCTTGCTGTGGCCTTCTCCTCTCCTGACTGGGTCACGTCTTATACACCTTGTATTTCAGCGGTACTCTTACTGATCATTGTTTGCAAGTGACAGAAACACAGCTTAAACTAATGTGGGAAAACTGAGGCCTTTACAGACCTCGCTAACCCTAAACCACCTGTGTGTGGTAGAGCTCACACTATCGGAACCAAGGGCTCACATGCTGTTAAGATAGAACAGTTTTTCTTTTTTCCTCTCAGCTTTGTTCTGTGCATTAATTTTGTCTCAAATCAACTCCTTCCATCACATACTGCTGTCATTGTCCAGGTTTAACCCTTCAGCTTAACTGCCCAACAGACACGGCACCTCACTCTCACTGGTCCCAAATTCTGAAATCACAGGGAAGAACTCTCACTGACCCCCCTCGAACTAGGTTACCATCACCTGGGCAAAGGAAGTGAGAGATGGTACACCTTGAAAGGCCCCGGAGAGCTTCAAAGTTCCCTTTAGATCAAGCCGAAGGTACCTTCTGAGTTCAGTTTACAGACAGTGCCCAGCTTAGGACATTTTTAGTTATGGCGGACTGTACCTACAACCATTCATCCATTTTGTATCTTATCATTAGTTATCTACTAATGTTATCATTTGTATGCCAACTCCCAAAGACAAACTTCTAATTTATAAAGATACTGATAATTAAAGGCAGCAATAAAACCTTAAACAGCAAAAAGAAAAACAAAAACAGGTACTCGAATGACGTCAGAACCAGCTTAAAATGGAGTCATAGCAACAGAGCCCCGTTGTAAGTTGTGGACTACCAGAGAATGGAAAGAAGTTCATGAAAGTGCTTGTTGGAGAACTTTTCAAATTTCAGACAGTGGGAAAATAAGGAGCTGCCTTCATGTGGAGACCGGGTAAAATTGGAGAAGAAATGATGGAGCCGGTGCTTCAGAGCTGGCTCTGTCTGGGGGACTTACCGCGGGAGAAAGATGAGGCGTTCTGCTCCCGTAAAGATTTATAGCCTCAGAAACCCTGTACAGGGTCGCTATGAGCCGGAACCGACTCCATGGCACATAACAACAACAATGTAAAGATGACCCTCTTTTATGTTTGTGTCTTGAAAGTCAAGTGGGGAAGTTTGTCATACTGTGCTCTCTTACATGTTGTCAGGAAATCATCATCCTTGAAAATTAAGCACTTGCTTTATTCTTGGTGCTTAGGAATTAGTGTATAGTTAAAATTGTAAATAAATTTTTGTCAAATGTAAGGTAAGAGAAATGATTATCAGACAATGAAGCTTTATTCAGCTTGTTCTCCTGTATTTTAAGTGTGTCATAATGGCAGTCAGCTGCATGTCTCCATATTCATTGTGGTACACACTTTGATGTGCTATGCGTTTACTTATTGGTGGTGGTGTGCCATGGAGTCGGTTCCAACTCACAGTGACCCCATCTTTACAGGAGCAGAAAGCCTCATCTTTTTCCCGTAGAACAGCTGGTAGTTTTAAACTGCTGACCTTGAGGTTAGCAGCCCAAGAACTAATACTAGAAGTATTTAAAGTAAAACAAACCTACATGATTGAAAATAAGGGAAATGAGAGATACCAATTTATAACGAAATCAACTATAAAGCAAAAAGGGGGAATAATATAGATACAGAACTTCATATAGAAGTTTCTATTTGGCAAGGACATCAAATAGAAATCAAGATAAAACAGAATTTTAAGCAGAGAAAAAAAATTAATTAATTACAGGGTAACCTAAAAGATAACTAAACACAACAAACATTAAAATGAACCTCCGTTAGAATGAACTCAGCGCAGAAAATTACGTGGAACAAAGAAACCAGTATCACCACAAACAAATGACAGCAATAAACTCGAACTTACTGATAATTACACTGAATGTAAATGACTAAATGCACCAGTTAAGAGATACAGCACAATGGATAAGAAAACAGGATCTTCCAATACACTGTCTACAGGAGACACGGCAGAAAGATGGAGATGGCTTAAATTTCCATTAACAGAATAATGGCTAAGCAAACTTTGGTATACACACAGAATCCTATACAATCCTGGAAGAATTAACAGTGAATTCACAACATGGATGAACCTGGAGAACATTATGATGAGTGAAATTAGTCAATCACAAAAGGATAACATTGTTATCAGACAATGCTGTAAAAATAACATGTTTTCTTGATAAACAATCCAGTGATAATGGAGGAGGGAAAATGATTCATGGACTAGAAGGTAGACATGTTACAAGAGGGCGGTTAGTAGAGGGTAAGGGGAAAGTTAAAAAGTAAATAGAGGTACATACTATGAACTGTTGGTATATAGAAGTGGTTGTGATCATTGTAATGAACTAAAATATTGTAATGTGAAACTGATGATCTGTAAACCTTCACTCAGTTCACAATAAAAATTTTTAAAGTAGGTACTATCAATCACTGGAGTCTTACTGTGGCACTGTTGGATAAGCACTGGACTGCTAACCATAAGGCTGAAGGTTCAAACCTACCAGCTGCTCCTCAAAAACCCTATATGGGGCTGCTGAGTCAGAAATTACTCTACCGTACTGAACAGTCGATCCCAACGATGGAAATGTGGACATTGTGGCTAATGGCTGACTCTTTCCTCTTCCATGAGCTCTTACCCCAAATATTGTAGGCTGGCAACCATATTGGTGGCCTCTGAGGAGCTTTGGTACAAATTGGGCTGCAAACCTCAAGGTCAGCAGTTCCAAACTACCAGCTGTTTCGCAGGAGAAAGATGAGGCTTTCTACTCCTGGAAAGATTTACAACCTCGGAAACCCTATGCAGGCAGGGTCACTGAGTCAGAACCGACTCCACGGCACATCACTACCACCAAGAAGCTCTGGGGAGTCCTGGTGAGGCGCTGTGGACTGATGAGTCAGACTGCAAAGTCGTTTGAACTGCAAGGTCGGTTCAAACTCACCAACTGCTACTTGGAAATCCTATACAGAGTTGCTACAGGTCGGAATTGACTCAATGGCACTTAACAAGGAGCTCTGGGTGCATAGTGGTTATGAGTCAGACTGCTAATCTAAAGGTCAGCTGTTCCACGGGAGAAAGATGAAGCAATTCCTAGGCATCCCACCACCAAATAGCTCTGTAATGTGTTCCCTCTACTACAATGAATTCTCACCTAAATTACCTCCTACAGTCATACTTTATCCTGAATTCCAGCCCAAATGAGCCTGCAATAAGTGTTGCATGGTGGTGTAAGCTCTGTCATGTCTACAAGCATACATACTTTGTTCATGCTGTATCTTCTACCTGGAGCATAAACCAGCTCAAATCTCCAGGAAACCTCTCATTACCCTAACAGCTCTATCTGTGCTGACACTTCAGCCCTTAATCACTGATATTTGTATCTTTCCTCCATACTAGAGTTGGCCTTTCTGAGGAAGGCCTTGTATCTGTCAGCTTAATCCTTGTTTTCCCAGACCCAGAATAGGGCCTGATGAATGAATCCTGGAAAAGTGTGAAAGGACTGATTTAGATTCCAAATTCTACAATTAATTTCAGGTTCCAACAATTACAGTCTTTAGAATTAACACCAAACACCTTTTATTAGCATGTGAGGCGGTCAGGGCAAACACTAACTACTTCAGCAACTTAATGACCACTTCTAATTTTATTTGAGGAAACAACTCATTACTTACAAAGCGGTACTCACCAGTCAAAAGGAAAATTACGGTTAAATAAACAGCCACTCCTCACTTAACATGGCTGGTAAGACCAGGTTGTTATGTGAATATCAGGTACACAACATTAGAGGACAACCACATCATTACTTAACTGCCAAACCACAGAGAATTGTGGCTCAATCCAGTTGACAACCAACCTTAATCACAGCCAGTGTTACTCTTGCCTTGCACCTTGGTTTTAAGTTCATAAGACAAAATTTCAAGTAACTTGTCCAAGGTTATAGAGCCAATAGTGCAATCAAGATTTAAGTCTCTAGCCTCACTCACTGGGGCTGTCACATCAGTTGGTGTGAGAGTATTTATTCCACCCTCCATTTTCAGATCTTCACGGTAAACCTTTTCACCCCAACCCCTAAGTTCTAATTAGTTTCCTTTCCACTGGGCCCTGCCTTCAAAGTGCCTGTTCTCCCCACTTTCAACCATGCACGTCTCCTCATTGTGACACTGTTTTGAAGTTTGCTTCAGCTCTCACTATTCCAAAGTGCCTCCTCATTCACACCGGTCCTTTTCCTGCCAGCCTGCTCTATGTAGTCTACACGACAAACTCCGTTTCACACAATTCTATGGCTTTGTTTTGCCCCATTTAGGCTTTTAAACACAACTTCCTGTCATTTAGCATAAAACCTCAATATTTATTAGATTAAATCCTATTCCCATTCCTCCATTAACTTTCAGACTCCGGTTGATTGCACACATATATTTAACAATGCAGTTTTACACAGAATGCTAAGAGCACTTTCTTTGTATTTTACAGAAGAGCTTGAAACAATATGGACTTTTAATTTATATTCAACCATAACACAGCCCAATCTACTGTATATAGCTGCATTACACTTCGTTTAGAGTTTAAAGGCTTAATGGCAATTATCAGGGAAGGAAAAAAGAGTGACGTTTATTTTACATAACTGACAGGAAAATACATTCAAGAAACTGACAGAAATTTAATAGGGTCTCATGCGCCCAGAAGGAGGTGGTGCCCGGTTTGGCGGGGTGATAGCTATGTCCAAATAATCTCCTATCTGGAACTTCTGCGACTGCAGGGTCATGGAGTCGTCAGTCCCCTTCCTGCCAGACATGGTACTGCCAATCTCCTTCACTCTGGAGGAAAAGACAGCAATGATTAATGGACTGTCTACTTAACAGCAGAGTTCAAAAACCTAGTAGTTTATTAAGCAAATCTGCTAAAAAGTAAAAGATGATCAGTGTGAGGACTAAGGTACACATTCAATCGCCTTCAGTGCATATAAAACTGGACAATGAATAAGGACAACAGGAGAAGAACTGATGCATTTGAATGATGGTGTTAGAGAAGAACATGGAACATTCCACTGACTACCAGAAGAATGAACAAATGTGCTTTGGAAGACGTACAGCCAGAATGCTTCTCAGAAATAAGGGATGGAAGACTGCGTCTCATGTACCTGGGTCATGTTACGAGGAGGAGCCAGTCCTGGAGAAGGACAGCACACTTGGTAAAGTAGAGGGTCAAGAGCAGAAGAGGAGACAGAGCCATTGCCATGCTGCAATGAGTTTCGATGACGGGTAAGACTGAGGAATTCGCACTGACCGCCTAAGACAGGCAGCGTCCCTTAAACAAATAATAAATAAGGGGGAATCTGATGCAGACCGTGCAGACCCGGTCAGGAGTTCAAGTCCCTGTGGGCCCAAGCGTTGCTGACCATCCAAACCATAGGCTCTGAGGATCAGACTTTAGCCACCTAGCAGACATAGCAAAATGTCCCTTATCTGATTATTCAGTTATGCTGGTTAGTAATTCCATACATGAGCCCTGGATACCCACAGATAAATGTAAAACCCTTCCCTAAAAGCCAAGACTGTAAATTCCAAAAAGGCAAAGTTTTTACCCCCCAAAAAAGCTAAAGAGGATAGAGAGAAACTCTGTTAACTGATGGTATGTGGAGGGGATTATAATCAATGTAATGAAACAAGGTATATGAATGTTTGAATGTGAAACCGATGATGTGCCCTGAAAACTTTCACTCAATCCACAATAAAAACCTTAAAAAAAAAAGAGCAGAAGAGGAAGACCCTCAGTGAGACGGACTAACACAGTGGCTCCAATGACAGGATCAACCACGGCCACATTGGTGAGGCAGGCCCAGGCCTGGGCAATGCTTATTTCTGTTGCTAGGAGCTGGCACTGACTGGACGGTACCCAGTAACTTAGAAAGCTATGGCAGATGCTAAGATTAATCTAGAATACCCCACTAAGCAAATTTATTAAAGGGTTGCCCCTACCAGCTAAAATATACCCAAAAGAAGAAGAGACAATAGGAATGGCAGCCACTCCCCAGCTTTGGAAGCTCTGACCTGGGACAATTGTTAAGTGTGTGGAGTCAGTTCTGACTCATAATGACCCGGTGTCGAGTTTCTGAGTGGTTGGTGGATATAAACCACCGTCCTACAGACCACTGGTGTGGGTTAATGCACCAGACTGCAAAGCTGTCTGAACTACAAGGCTGGTGGTTCAAGCTCACCAGTCAAACCCTATACAGGGTCACTATGGGTCAGAACTGACTCGATGGCACTTAACAACAACAACAACAGAGCCACACCAGGCTTCCTACAGGCCCTTCAATGTCATGCACATTTGTCCTCAGTTTGAAATAATCCAAGCAATCCCTGCACACAACAAATTCACCTTAACTTGCTGTATGCACAGCTTTTAAATTATTGACAAAGCTCTGAGCCTTTGCTAATACTAAAGGAAGACACCTACAAATTCCACTTTTAAAGACTAAAGTCGCAGTTAGGGTTGGTGAGCCAGGGGTTAGCAGTAAATTCAAAGTCACCTACCGATAGCCGGGTCTTTTCAGATCCGTAAAAACGATGGCAAAATTGAAGTGGGTGCCTTTCTTTCTAGCTTCTGGGTAGACCTCTTTCACTAAACTTGTCAGTTCTTTCAAAGTCGCATCCATCCTGAATTAAAACAAAACAAAATTACATCTCATTACCCAGCAGTAAAGGATTAGCACAGATGTCGACATACAATCAGTTATTTACATAGTGTTTGTGACTGGTGGATTTGAACTGCTTACACAGAGGTTAGTAGCCCAGTACTAATCCTGTATTTGTTTGTTTAAGTAACATAGATTGGTTCATAGTGACCCTATATAGTGTTTCCAAAGAGTGGTAGGTGGGTTTGAATCCCCAAACTTGTGGTTAGCAGTCTAATGCTTCTACAGCGCCACACCAGGACTCCACTTATCCTATTGTAGATGTATTCCAATTTCAAGAATGTGAAAATGTGAGACTGTACATGCTTATCCTATGGTGGTGGTTATGCACCATGGAGTCGGTCCTGACTCACAGAGACCCTGTATAAAGTTTCCGAGGCCGTAAATCTTTACGGGAGCAGAACGTCTCATCTTTCTCCCGCGGAACCGCTGGTAGTTTTAAACTGCTGACCTGAGATTAGCAGCCTGATTCGTAACCACCATGCTATGCTGTTGTCATTATTAGTGCCATCAAGTCGATTCTGACCCATAGCGACCCTGTATAGGGGTTTCCAAGGAGCAGCTGGTGAGCTTGAACCACCCACCTTGCAGTTCAAACAACTTTGCAGTCTGACGCGTTAGCCCTCAGCGCCAAACCAAGACTCCACTACGCTATTGTTGTTGTTGTTAAGTGCCATCGAGTCGGGTCCGACCCATGGCGACCCTGTACAGGGTTTCCGAGGGTGTAAATCTTTACGGGAGTAGAAAGCCTCATCTTTCTCCCGCGGAGCAGCTGGTAGTTTCGAACTGCTGACCTTAAGGTTCGCAGCCCGATTCGTAACCACTACGCTACCAGATTAGCACCACTTAAATATTTCATTAATTCTAAGACAACATACATTCCCACATTTTTACATTTTTAAAATAGAAGTACATATAAAATTGACGTTCTAAGAAAGTATTTTTATGAAGACATGCAATGTATTTCCTTCTACAATGGAAACTTACAATGAATTTTACAACTGATAGACTCCTAGAGTCAATGAAGTATATGAAATTGAAGGCTTCTTGTCCTGAAAATATTTATTTGAACTTAAAAACTTAATATAGCCCTTTGAGCTAACATATCACACTCTTTAAAAAACATCCTTTAAAAATAAGTATCTTAGAAATAAGAACTAATATATATTTTATATTGTTATTGTTTTCTTCCATGACAACTGGGAAAATGAAACGGATGGCTTAGAATTTTACATCATATTGCCCATGGAGTTGGCCTTGTGCTATGAACTGATATAAGAATGCTAAGAGTCAGTGAAGAACTGAACTCCGAATTTACAACACCAAGCAGGACTCAAACCCCAAAGAGCCCACTTAGCTTAACTCTGCACCCGATTTTCAAACCCACACACATTGCTCCCATGTAAATCCAAGGTGACAACTGTATCCAACAGTACAAACAATCCAGGATGACATCACTTCTATGGTCTACACTCAATACATCAAACATCACTGTCTGTCACATAATTGATTGCGACTCACAGCAACCCTGCAGAGGGTTTCTGAGATTGGAAATCTTTATGGGAGCAACAGCCTCATCCTTCTTCACAGAGCAGCTGGTGGGTTTGAACTGCAGATCCTGCAGTTAGCAGTCCATGGCTTACCCTACAGTGCCACCAGGGTTCCCGTCTATACTCAATGTTGTTGGTTCTGGGTTTTCCTGAAATTATTCTCTAATCTGATTAAATTTAAATGCACAGGCTAGCTGGCTGTAAGGCCCCTCTAGGGCAGAACACCAGAAGAAACACATGTGCATTCACCAAAAGCTTTCTTGATCTAAGTGATTCACCTGAATTATCAGAGTCACAGCCTCTGCACAGAATCAGTGTCCTGAACTGAACAAGTTTACAGAAGAGGCCAACTAGAAGCCACTAGAGTGAGCTGTCTCCCTACAGAAACAGTGAGCTTAGAAGTAAAACCTCAGTCCTGACCGGACTGCAGAGACGAAGAACAAGAGGGACGCAGGGGCAGTGGGCTTTTGTTAATGAGGGATGAACAGTTCACATGAGGAGGGTGAGAACGGTTGCACAACACCAAGAATGTCATCAATGTCACTGAAATGTCCCATAGAAACAGTTGATTTGGTGTACACTTTGCTGTATAAAGGCTCTGTTGTTGTTAAGTACTGTGGAGTCGGTTCCGACTCAGAGTGACCCTGCACAGGGTTTCCAAGGCTGTAAATCTTTACGGGAGCAGAAAGCCTCATCTTTCTCCCATGGAACCACTGGTAGTTTCGAACTTCTGACTGTGAGGTTCACAGCTGGATTCGTAACCACTATGCTATACCAGAGCTCTAGAGGAGAAAAAGGTATTCCTTCTAAGGTGAAAGAGAAGAGTTGCATTTGGTCTCTGGTGTGGTACCTTAGGATGGATAAGCACTGGTCTAACACAACTCCTAATGTCATTTTTCTTGGATCCACAATCAACACTCACTGGAAGCAGCAGCCAAGAAATCAAATGACGTACTGTATTAGGTAAATTTGCACATAAGCCAAGTTGTGATATTTTCACTCTCCTCATATGCATGTGCTAGCTGGACAATGAATAAGGAAGACCAGAGGGAATCATGCATTTGAATTATGGTGTTGGAGAAGAATATTAAAAGTACCAGTGACAGTCAGAAGAACAAACAGATCTGTGTTCAAAGTACAGCCAGAATGTCCCTTAGACAACAGGTAGGGAAGTCTCCATGTAGATGTGTTAGGAGGAGGGACCAGTCCCTGGAGAAGGACACCATGCTTGGTACGGTGTGAAGGGTCAGCAAAGGAGACAGGCTGACGCGCTGGCAGCAGTACTAACTGAGGATGGAGCAGGGCTGGGCGGGCTTTGTTGTGTCCACAGGGCTGCTATGAGTGGGAATCGACTTGACAGCACCTAAATAATGACAATGGAGGCCTGGGGTGGCGCTGTGGGTTAATGTGCCACACTGCAAAGTCAGTTTGAACTGCAAAGTTGGCGGTTCAAGCTCACCAGCTGCTCCTTGGAAACCCTAGAGTTGCTATGGGTTGGAAATGACTTGGCAGCACTTAATAACAAAACGACAACAAGCCAACCACACTGCTGACGGTTCAAATTGACCAGTGGCTCCCTGGAAATTACTGCTTGCAATTAAGAGGCACAATGCCTAGTGGGCCTGTTTGGGTTTTGGAGGCAGCATATTTCTCATTTGTGTGTGCTACTCCAGCAGTGACCTGAAAACCTGCTAATTCTGTGTGGGTTCCCCACCCCCACAAGGCTCTGTAGGAGGGCCAGGAGCAAACAGTCATTTGGGCCACATGACCTGTCAGCAGCTGAGAGAAATGCTGCTTGGAGCCTTAACAGCTTCTTAGAGCGGAAGCCGGAGTCCTGGCATGGCACTGTAGGATAAGCAAGCATTGGACTGCTAACTACAAGGTTGGTGGTTCAAATCCATTAGCCACTTCTTGGAAACACTATACAGGCTAGCTATAAGTCAGAACTGACTCAATGACACTTAGGTTGTTACTGGGCCTCAGCAGAGACAAAACAGCCATCTGTGAACTTATTGAACAGCGCACCCACTCCATCGTGTTACTTCTGACAAAGGAACTCGCTTCTCACAAATAAAGTGCGACAGGCAACATGGATGAGCCTGGAGGGCAGTATGCTGAGTGAAATGAGTCCATCACAAAAAGAAATACTGTATGAGCCCAATGGTGTAAAAAGGTAAGATTTTCTTGATAAAAGAAATAATCTATGATGGCTATGGTGAGGAAGCGGAAGGGAAAATTATTCACAGGCTAAAGAGTTTTTATATACATATATATAGAGAGAGAGAGAGAGCGATGAGAGCTGGATAAAGTGAGGTAATGGGTCCTCGCTCCAGGAACTCACTGTCCTTACATAGGCTTCATCATCTTGAAGCAGTTGGTTTGACAGAATGGGGGGGAATGGCTTTTGAAGCGTCAGTTACAGTGCCATCTGCGTGGCAGCACCTTGTGGAGCGAGGGCAGCGTTCTCAGCATCTAATACATAGCCCTCTTAAGTGCTGCTTGCAGTCCCCACAACCTTAGCTCTAGAGATCTTCGTTTCAAAGGAAGCAATGCTTTCACCAGCAGCCACAAGGATGTCACTAAGCTGGAAGCTGAGCCTGACACCCAACCACTTTGGGCTCCTCACGCTTCTGAACCAACAGGAAAAGAGCAGAATTATCCTAGTGCACAACTCAGGTAAAGAGTATGCCTGGAACATAAATAAAAGGCCTCCTGGGACACCTCAATGGAAAACAACATTAAAGTCAATTTAGGTAGGACTTTAGGTTCAGACCCTTCAGGACAGAAAGTCTGTGTCACCAGACAAAAAACCCAACCAGCTGAGGTGCTTACTTAGGGTAAAAGGAATATAGAATGGGCAATGAAATAAAGCAGTTTTAAATAACAGCTACAGTAACTCATAGTTGAGTATTTCTTCCTTATTTTACTAGGAATCATTGTATACCAACCAAATCCTGCCTTCCGTCCCCCTCAGCCCTGTATGTCTCATAATCACCAATACAAGGGGCCTTCAAGCATTCATGGAAAGAAAAGATAATGGAATTTCCCTGCAAACTTTCTGAAATCCTCTCAGATATTAATAGTTAACTTTTTATAACAGTATTTAAGTTACAGCAAAGAGTGAACATCATTCAAAGCCTCCGCATCCTCATATCTGGGATAGTTGTACCACGGTAAACAAAAGTCCGACACTGTTATGTCTTCATTTGGAGACTAATGATGGTTTAAGATGATAATGTCAGGGTTTCAAGATGCTTAGTTTCATGTGTCAGCTCAACTCCATTAGGCTACTAAACCCCCAAGCCCCTGCTGTCCAGGGAGTCCAGATGGCCCTTCAGGGCGGAGCAAAACTGTTCCACAAGGTTTCTGAGGCTGCCTCATCGTTCTTCTGCCAAGTGGACAGTGGGCCCAAACAACAGACTTTGTGGTCACCAGCCCAATACCCACTGCATCACCAGAGTTACCTAACTAGGCTAACAAAGCTTACCCAAACCCACCGCCGTCCAGTAAATTCTGACTCACAGGGACCTTGTCTAGGGGTTCCAAGACTAGAATCTTTTATGGGCGGAAACAGACTCATCTTTCTCCTGCAGAGTGTTCAGTGGAGAGCGCCCGCTTAACCCACTGCGCCACCAAGGCTCCTTGACTAGACAATCAGTATCCAGTTATTCAAAACAACAATCTAGGGGTTGCTGTGTTACTTGCTGTTGTTAAGCGCCATCAAGTTCGTTCCGACTCATATAGCGACCCTGCATAGGTTTCCAAGGAGTGGCTGGTGAGCTTGAACTGCCAACCTTGCAGTTCAAACGGCTTTACAGTCTGGCACATTAACTCACAGCGCCACACCCAGATGTAAGTCTTTAATCCATTTACTTTAAATAAGGATGAGCCTTGATCAACTAGCTGAATCTGATTCCTCAAAAAGCCCAAGAGCAGAGCTGCAGCTTTCTGGATGAAATTCCCACTGTGGCTGGCGGCTGCAGAAGCCACTATTCCAGCCTGTCCTTTCATAAGACCTCCCCCCAGAGCTGAGACTTGTCCAGCCCGACTCCACAACCATATTTGCCAATTCCTCGTGATAAATTTCTTTATATCCACCTCCACCTGCGGGGGGGGGGGGTGAGGAGGGCGCAGGACGCGGCAGTGACCCGCTCTGCTGGACACAGCTCTGCTGGACACAGGGCGCAATGAGTGCCAACTGACAAGGATGCCGACGGCAAGGCACCCAAAGCTTCATCACGCAAATGCACTCTGACACTAACAAACGCCCATCATTCATTCTAACCGCACTCCTTCGAGTCCCGAAAAAACAGGATAGCACATTTCAATCATCTGTCGCTCTGGAAACCAGCAGACACAATGGTGATCGCACTCTTGGATCTGTGCTTTCCTAGCAACCCAGAGTCTGAGCGTCCACCGTTACGAGATGGGCAGATGCCCTGCAGCTTACGGCTGAACCCTCTTAACTTTCCACCAGCTGCGCCCACGGGCCCCACGTGCACTCCACAACAGCTCTTCACTAACAAGGGAGCTCATCGGAAGACGGGGTGCTGGGGAGCCCCTAAGTCCCGGCGCCCACCCGCCGCCGCGGCTCTCACCAAGTGTAGATCTGCAGCTCGCTGGAAGGCACGTTTCCACGGGAGAACTCGTCCATCCGGTGGTGGCGGCCGTTATTGGTGGTGAAGACCCGCAGCAGCAGCGGGCAGGTCTGGGAACCAGGCGGGAAAAGAAGGACAAAAGTTAAAGAAAGCGCGGCTAGCCCCGAGTCCCCTCGGGCCGCCCGGAGCACCAGGCCGTCGCCGCCGTCCCCACACCCTGCTCCTCTCCAGGCGGCCGCGGCCCCACCTCCACCAGCACACCGTGAAGCGCCTGGGCCCTCACCTTCTCCCGGTCGATCGGTTTCTCCGGTTCTTTTTTAATTTCCTCCTGGGTGACGCGCGACTCCACCGCCATCTTCCTTCTCCGGCCCGCGAGACGCTCGCTCTGACCTCCGACCCCTGCCGCGAGCATGAGAACCAAGCCTCTCGCGAGGAGAAGCGTGCGCGGGTTTTATAGAGAACGCGGGGGCGGGGCGCGGCGTCCCTGGCGCAAGCGCATTTTACTGTGTGGGAAGTGCAGCACGCCCCTGGGGCGCCTGCGCGGACTCCCGGCTGACCTGGCGGTGGAGGCGTCTGCTGGGTCTCCCGCAGGGCTCGTTAGTTGTTGGCGTACACCGTGGTCTATCGCCGGGGAAATTGGTTGCCTGTGAGAATTTAAGGAAAAAAAATAGGTGTTTTTTCCTTAAATTCTCACAGGCAAAACAAACTTCAACTGGCGTTTTCACACGTAATAATGAGAATCTAAATAAACACAAAACACTTTAAAACATTGCAAGCGGTAAGTGTATAATCACAGCAATGGATAAGCAACAGCATTCCTTTGGCAAAACATCCATCTCGACATTTTGATGAAGAAATAACAGGTGTGAAACAAACCCATGCAAATGGGCCCCTGAGATATGCCAGAAGAGGCGATGCCAAGCAGGGCAGGAAGAGCTTTTCAGGAAATGATGGTGATATAATAGTAATTTGTATCGAGAGAACAGGGGAGCAGAGGTCAGGAAATGACATGTTGCACTGGGCAAATCTGCAAAATACCTCTTTAAAGTGCTAAAAAGCAAAGATGTCACTCTGAGGACTAAGGTGCATCTGATCCAAGCCAAGTCGATGTTTTCAATCACCTCATAGGCATATGAAAGCTGAACAATGATTAAGGAAGAACTGATGCATTTGAATCATGCTGTTGTCAAAGACTTGAAAATACCATGGACTGCTGGAAGGGACAAGAAGTCCTTGAAAGTACAGTCTGAATGCTCCTTAGAAGCTAGCATAGTGCGACTTCATCTCGCATACTTGTTATCAGAAGGTACTCAGTTCCTGGAGAAGGAAAGCAGAGGGAGACCCTCAGGAATAAAAGAGAAAACTCTCAATAAGATGGATTGACAACAGTGACTGACTACAACAATGGGCTTAAATATAGAAATGATCTTGAGGATGTCGCAGGATTGGGCAGTGTTTTGTTCTGTTTGACATAGGGTCACTGAGTTGGAAACTGACTCCACATACCTAACAATAAATTGGGGCCAGAGGTCAAGGTTTGGGAGGAACTCCATACTGTATGTAGGCTGTATTCTTTGTTTTTCCCTGCAAGCAAGGTTGTGTTATCTGCATATTGTAGCTTGTTACTAAGCCTATCACTAATCCTGATGTGGTGCTGTGGGTTAATGCCCCAGAATGCAAAACCATTTGAACTGCAAGGTCGGGTTCAAGCTCACCGCCTGCTCCTCAGAAACCCTATACAGGGTCGCTATGGGTCAGAACTAACTCGACGGCACTTCACAGCAACAACAATCCTGGTGCCCAGTTCGTCAAATAGTCCAGCTTCTCAGGCTAGTGTGCCACCTAGATCAGGTGTGTGGCGCTGTAAGATAATGTGTTGGAATGCAGAGTCAGTGATTCAAGCTAACCCTATATATGGTCGCTATGAGTAAGAACCGACTCCACGGCACTTAACAATAACAACAGGGACTTTAAACTACAAGAACCGACCTCACAGCACATCACCACCATGTTGTTAGTTAATTGTTCAGTTAATTCTGACTCATGATGCCCCCATGTGTGCAGTTTT